CGATTACGGATTATTTCACAGACTATGCATTTTATCAAAGCATTTTTAGAAGCAGCTGATACATTTATTAAATTTTAGAAGGAAACGAGACTGCAAACACATATTTGTTAGAAAAATAATGTATATGCAATACAATGATCAATATAGCCATGTCAGTGTTTTATAACGTTACACACGTTAAATAAAGATCAGAGTAACTCGTGTTATAAAGTTATTCTGATGTTCTCTGCAGGATAATGCTCCACCTTGTCCTCCATCCAGCATCAGATCTGCTCCAGCTTACCTCAGAACATCTGGATGAATTCTTGATTTCTATAGAAGATATTAATTCAACCTTTATTTAAACAGGTTCGTCCCATTGAGCCACGAGGACTCATTTACAAGAGAGACTGAATATAATTGTTGTATTTGTCTTTTTTTTATGGCACCAAGTACCTGATAACTGAGTTGATTGTAGCCTGACAACTATTGTAAAACTGTAATTCATTGATTAAAATGTTCATTTAAATGAAACTGTTTCTAGTTAAAATCATAACAGATGACAAAATAAGTGTTAACTGTGCAAAAATACATTTCCAAACAATTTATTATAAAATATGTAAAATGTAAAGCAAGCTTTAATAAAGTACTTTTACTGACATTTATACTGTTTATTAATGACATCATCTCAAGTCAGCAGGAGCACCATCATCATCATCATCATCATCACAACAACACAAAGTGAGAGCTGTAAATTTAATCTGCACAAACATTTTCAATCAGGGCTCAAAATGTTGAACTGTCAAAGAAACGTTCAATAAAATAAACTACTGTCACTCTACAGGCACATTTAGAGAGAGGACAGTTCACAGAGACACAGTGAGGACGAGTGAGACAGAGACACAGTGAGGACGAGTGAGACAGAGACACAGTGAGAACGAGTGAGACAGAGACACAGTGAGGACAGTTCACAGAGACACAGTGAGGATGAGTGAGACAGAGACACAGTGAGGACATGTGAGACAGAGACACAGTGAGAACGTGTGAGACTGAAGGAGGTTCAACCAGTTGTTCATGGACCAGAACCAGATGAGAAGAACAGCCGAACTTCCACTGACCAGTGACCTGACCAGTGACCTGACCAGTGATCTGACCAGTGACCTGACCAGTGACCTGACCAGTGACCTGACCAGTGATCTGACCAGTGA